TTCCTTTGATCAAATCAGTAGTTTTAGAGTTTTAAAAATTAACTATTTTTAACTTTCCCCACAAGACTTTCTGTTTACTGGAAACATGTTTGGTTAAAGTACACCATTTACTTCCAGGGTTTTTTCTCATTTTCAACAGATTTGCAAGAGGCTACAGCAAGGAGCAAGAAACACACAAGTCTTCTGTTCTGGTATGTATTTTGAGAGAGACTTGCTTTTCTGTCTCTTAATTTACAGTTTGTATTTGTATGGAGTTTAAGCTGTGTGAGGAAAGCAATTGATTTACAAAACAGACTACATGCAGCACATACAAACTTACTCCTCTTATCAAATAGGAAATACTTTCTCAATGCAACAGCTTGGTGCAGAAGAGCATGCTGAGCTGAAAAGCAAATACAGCTATCTGATTAATTGATTCTGACCTCATAAATATTATACTTTGGGGGCTCTAATGGAACTTCCTGAGGGTAAATTGCATGGTTCACCTCATTCATTTATATCTCTGGCTGACAGATGTACATTATGAAATGTCACTGAATATGCTGGCAATAAATGAGGTATAACATTAGCATCTTGGTTCTGTTTTCCTGAAGGAACACTTTTGTTAAATGAATCCCACACCAGTAAAAATATTATTCACCACTATGTACACTTCTTTCTATTTTAATCAGTCTCACAGAAATATATAGAGGCCTTCCAAAAACACAGAGTCTCAGTAAATGAACAAAACAAGCTGCTCTTTTGTTGTGCATGTTTCCATTGTGAAGCTATATTGTTGGAGAATATTAGGCTGTGACAAGCATTTGATAGTGTAGTAGTTGCACTAATGTTATGGTTATTATCTTTACTACCGCACAGTGAAATGCAGTTAATTAAAATACAGTGAAGAAATTGCTCCCTTCCCCTGCCTACACAAAAATGAGATGCTAAATTTGTTGTTGGAGTCAGCATATAGGGTTCCTTGACCTCTCTGTATGTATTTAGGCATTATTCTATTTTATTTCATTTTTTATTTCGTTGCCATTTGAGACTGATAAAACTGCACATAAAGGGCTTGGGAATAATGGCAAATAAGTATGACATGTGCAGTTTAATGAAGTTATATACTGTGGTGCATTGCAATAAAATTCATAAGGAATATGTGCCCCACTACTGTAAGGCTTGCAAATTCCAATAAACCATTAATCCTTGCCATGAGCAGGCCATGACTGCAAAGGTAACTTTGCCAAGGAATGGGGAGAGGGAAAGAGAAAGGAGGAGGGAGGGAGGCCGAGGGAAGGAGAACAGAGCTACTGGCAAGTGTGGCAGTTAGAGGAGATGAACCATCCCTTCGGGATTAAATCTACTTCCAACTATCCCCTTTCCTCCCACTGTTAAGTCATAATTGTTATAAAGGACAGCACTGGAAAAACATGTAATTTGTCTCTCACTACTCGCTGACAGCTATTGCAGGCTTAGGAGCCCAAATGAGGCTGAAAGATATTTCATCTTGTAGTGTTACCTCCAGGACAGCTTCTGAAGAGCTGCACGGTGGCTGCCTGCTGCACCTCTGCATGGAGAGCAGCACGAGGGGCAGCCCCCACTTGTACTTGCTTCTCTGACACTGGCCACAGACATGCTCCGCTCTAACAAATCTTTCTCAGCAAGCTCCAAACCCCTCTCTTCAGGTTTTTAGAAAGGGAGTGAAGGAGGGAGGCCAATAGGTTTGGGAAAATTGACTATTACAGGGATTTTCTGCAAACAGAAATTGAAAATAAGTGACAGAATATGTGCCTGCTCTGCTACTACATCTGTGAATTTATTGATTCACTCTCTGGCACAGACTGCAGCTGGACTATAAAGGACACAAGACACCTCTGCCTTTGCATAAAACCATAGAGGTCAGCTGTCACTTCAGTACTTTTTGATTGAGTTTATGCTTCCAAAAAGGTTAGAAAAATGTGTTAGGTGCAAAAAGCATCATCTAGAACTAAGAGCAGGAGCACAAGGCATTGTTCTTGTAACATCACTTCTGCTGCACACTGTGAAGGGTTCTGGGAGCTGCTGGCTCTGCAATTTGGCCCAACGTGGCTGCAAGGGGACAGAAGTGTTCTAGGCAGACAAGGATACCTGGGCTCCAGGAACATGGATGCTATGAGAAAAGCTCCTCCTTGATGCAGTGTAGTTTACTTTGCTTAGTCAAGTCATGAATCAGGCCTCATCAGAATCATCAGGATTTTTTGGTTTGGGGTTTTTTATTTTGTTGTGCTTTGGTTTTTTTTTTTTTTTTTTTTTTTTTTTGTTTTTTTTTTTATTTAAAATAAAGCAACAAGGATGAGGGGAATCAAGTTGTAAATTCTGTAACACTTCCTTCCTGTTCAGACTTTATATTTCTCATCTCTATTCTGCTAATAACTTTGTAACTCATAGTTGCAATGTTTGCATGTTAGGATGTTTGCTAGCATACCTGTCTATCAAAACAGGATGGAGAGATGTTAAAGATCAGTAAATAGGATTTCTGCCTCAGAAAACCTTTAGAAAGTGTATATGCTTAGACATAGACAATTAAATATTTATATGTAAAAAACAGAAAGAAAAATAGTAAAATTATGGTTATATTGGATTTCCTTCCTGTTTACATTTTTCTACCATTTAAAAATACTTTTCTCTTCTGCTTGTATCTTGTGCACAACTGAGATAAACAAAACACAGGGAAAACAAAAATAATGCAAGTACAAGTGCTTTACCAGTTTCTGCCTAAATTCCAGTGCACATACACACACACCTTGACTCATAATTAATCTGGAAAAAACAAGGGAACTACCTGACATTGCCTCATAAAGGAAACATTATCCCATGCATGATTCCCTGGCTGATAAACCAGGGTCCAAATTACACAGTGTCCATTGCCATAAACCTAAATTTGCCAAGGCATTACACTGGTCAGCTCTGAGGCTGCTCAGTGTCTCCTACTCACAAGGAGCACAGACAGGGTTTTGCCCTGCTCCAAAGTGGTGTACACCATCAGGCTATGAATATGACACCAAACTGGACAATTATAATCCAGTTCAGCAGAGAGCACTCAGGCGAACCCAGGATGCGCCATCAGCCCTGGCTTAACCATGGCGTGGAAAGGAGATCACTAACAGCAGAGGATTCTGCTTCAAAAATATTAACCATCTCACACTTGTACTTAATGTACAGTGTCTAGACAGTATTGACTGCTAGACAGGTGTAAAACCATCCTCCAGGGACAGCTCTCTGAGACCTGAAGCTGTGCTGCTATAATTAAAGCCTACAGTGTTTTAGAAGTCACTGGCTTTTACACTTAGAATTTCTCTGAGTGGCCTTGCAAGCGAGGCAGCTGCATGCACTTCCCTAACATAAGAGGTAGAAGATGAGGAGAGGGGGAGCCATCTTTAAACAAATGTGAACAAATTTACCTGTTTTATAAGGCATCACGGCTGACAGAAATAATGCTCTATCCATCTCCACAGAGCATAATTTATTTTTCTCTTAAAATGTCCAGTACACTGGTTTATAATTTTGATCCCTAATCATCAACAGCAACCTTTAAGACATGGACATAAGTGGTACTTTTATTTTCACCTCACGGACCAGGTTTGCACTATACAGATTAACAGAGATTTTTAACTCTACAGCTTTACTTTTCTTACTAATTTGGTGGTTTATTTTCATCACAAACCACACTTCTATAAATGACCCAGCCAAAACATCATTATTTTTGCCTCCAGCAGGCCACCCTGCTCTAAGGGTGTAACAGCCAAGGACCCATTAAGCTGTCTTAATGCCCCAGGCTTGTCAGCTTCTCTTTGCTTCCCTCAGAAATCAGCTGGTTGGTGTCTCAGAAAGCAAGTCAAGCTGTGCAATAGTCGGTGTATATTGTGGCACAGGAACAGCCTCACACGTGGTATTTGCTCGGCCAGCAGTGCTTTAAGAGCTGATGGCCACCAACAGTGTCATCCAGCTCTCACTATTGCTGTTGAGCAGCACAGCAAACACATCATTCAAAGGCCTCCCTATTCTCAAGGGACATTTCTATTAAAAAAATTTAAAAATTAAAAAAAAAAAAAAAATCCCCAGGCTGTTCTTTGTGTTTAAAAGACCTGAAATGCTTTGTAGGGCTTTTCCTTTTACAGCTGGTACCCGTATTCATGTTACCCATACCTTCTTTCATACTAAGAATCAAAAGGCATTCTGTCAAGAGTATTTGCAGCACAATCTTCCTCTGCTATTTGTGATTCTAGAGCTGCCCAGATAAGGTCAGAGCAGAATAATATCTGGCTAGCTCAACATGAATATCTTTGGAGGGAAGGTCAAGGAGACCAGAAAAGAAATGAGACCAAATACATGCCAGAGGACGAGAAGGAGAAAACAAAAGGAGTTAGAGAATCTAAGCTGACAGTCTTAAACGCTCAGCAATAATGCTAGCAGCAGTCCGCCATAAGAGACAAAGTAGTGTAAATTGGAAACCACTAATATCTGCAGAGCTTTGATTAAAATTAGGGTAGGTATCTGTGATGAAGAAACAGAGCCTTTCTGAGATGGCAAAGGAGTAAGAATTTGGCAGACACCAGTCAGAAGTGTACACTTGCAGTATCTGAGACCAGCTACACAAATCTAGCTTACAGGAACACAGTAAAATTAATAGAAATCAAATTAAAATTTTTGCATGGAAGGACAATTTATTCCCCCTCTCTGACCTTTCAATACCCCTTTAAGAAGTAAACAGTGGCATTCCTCTAAACCAATAACCTTTCCCAAATGAAACCACATTATCTAGCATCAAATTTTTTTCAAGCATAGGCCATGGTGAGGGATGGGGAGAGCTACAGTAAAAGCAAAACAACAAGCCTTGAAACAGTGCAAGAGCCCTTTCTGTAATACTGACCATGAGATCTAGCTCTCCAAAAAGAAGTAAGTGAATTCTGCTCCAAGTGTCTGTGAGCAAGTTAGCTTGGGCTTAAGCTAGAGAAGATCATATATACTGAAATACTTACCCATAATTAAGGACAGCCATTTCCACTTTGTATCATGGCCAGCAGAACTGATCTGTCTGTTGCTTTTTTTCCCCTCTGGACTAATAGAAATGTCATCTTCCTAACTACAAGAAGATACAGAGAAAAAAAATGTATGTATATATATAAAATATATAAATAACACCAAAAGCATGAAACTTTGCTAACTCCTCATGAGGTTATTTATTTTCCCATTGTCTGGTTGGCAATGAATATGTGATCCATTGTTTTTGAGTTATACAGACACATAGATAGATAGATAGATAGATAGATAGATAGATAGATAGATAGATGTGTGTGTGTGTGTATATAAATATATATATATAAGAGACACAACAGTAGGTTACATATATCTCTCTCCATAAATCTTCAGTGGAATATAATACCACAGAGTTTATGACAGGTTATTTTCCTGATCCGTTGTTAAGCTTACTAGCTTGAGCTCTGTCCTAGTTCCTATGCTGCCTTCCAACTCATAACCTGATGAGGAGCTTACAGAAAAGCTAAACACAGCTGAGCAGAAGCTGGGTCAGCTTTGGAAGCCAAGCCAGGAATCAGCCACAGAGGAACTGCTGCCATGGACCCAAAGTCAGGGGTCTGGGTCATCTTTGGTATCAGCTTCTGATATACACAAGGGGGTGTTGGAAGCAGGACATAGTAAAGATATTTGTTCCCAAAGCAGAGAGAAAGAAAGAAGAGGATCATCATGCCCTCCATATGTGCCAAGAGTGGGAGAGAAAGTATCACATCATTCACAAGGTAAGCCCAAGAGCTGATGGAAATCAACTCAGTTGCTTGTTTGGACGTCGTGCAAATAGGTGGTGGGCAAACTATAAGACAAGCAAGTCCGCTTGCTTTCTGAAGCACAAGCCTAAATAGCCAAAAGAAATATTTGCTCTAATAGCAAAGAAAGAAAATGGAGAAAACTCACAAATACTGCTCATCTTCTCAGACACAGGAGCCAGCTTCCCACTTTAGAATAGAACCCTGTAAGTAGAAAAGTACCAAAGGAGGAAAAAGAAAAAAAAAAGTCAGATCTTTCCTTTGAATTCCTCATTTCAATTTATGTATCCTATCTGTCAGGGAATTAAAAGAGAGGCAAATACTGGAGATTTGCATAAGTTACACTGAAGCAGAGATGCATGCTGGTCTTCATAGTAGCAACCTTCAACGTGGCTTCTTCTTCCTTCCTGTGGCTCTCTTTATTTTTTTTTTTTTTCTTTTAATCGTTTTTTCCGTTTAATGATCCTCTCCCTGCCTGCCTCTCTGCAGAGTTGCACGGAAAAATGCTGCCATCCAGCGGCATTCCCAGAAAGAATTCCAGAGACTGAGACGCTCTCCCCCCCACAATTCATCTTCCCAGAGCAGGGGAGCAGCAAAGGGAGTTTAGAAGATACAGTTTTAAGGCTTGCTGGCACTCTGACTTTCGCTGCCAGACATGATTATCTCAAATCAAAGATATGATGATTCTAAGGATCCTGCAAACCACATAGATTATTCATTACTGAATTTAGTTCGCTTACAGGCAAACAGACTTTTTCTAGCTGATTGCACTTGAAAAACCCTGATTTTATTTCCCTAGAATGATCTAAACAAAACTGTATTAAAAAATTGACTAAAAATTCAAATATCTAATTTTATAAATGTAATTAGAAAGAAAAGAATCTCCAATTTTTAATGAAAAATACTTCCTTTTCTGTCATTTAGAATTATTTTCCCAGCACCCAAAAATTACAAGTGTCTCAGACTAAAAGACATGCAGTCTGCTCACATGTTATGGAAGACTGATTTCTTTTTTCCCTAGGAATATTTAACATTATTCAATAACTTACTCAGGGACAAATGTCCACAGTCTATGAGTTGTAGTTTGAGTTATCTAGGTTCTCACAATCCATTAAGGCTTTGGAGACCTTTCCATCACTTTGTTAAAAATATATCTGTTCCATGTCAAGAAATTGTGTGTATAAATGTAGTTACATAGCCAATGTTGCTGTGTTTGGATTGGGAAGAACAAACCCAATCCTTTAAACAAGCACATAAACTTGCAGAGAAGGTCAGATTCAAATTTTAGGAATAAAGGTGGTTGTTTATTTATCTTATGGTAAAGTGATTTTGCATAATAACACCACTGAAGAGCACATCTGTGCAAGATGAATGCACCAAGGTGTTTATGAAAATATAGCACGTTTGTGAGCCTTTGTTTTGGCTGTGCCTTTAGCAGAACTTGCTCATACAGCACATCCAGGTTGTGTCTGCAGCTTCAGCTTTTGCTGCCTTCTTGCTCCATGAATCTCCTCCACCAGGAATTCCAAGCTTGGCATGAACTTTGCTCTGTCATTCAAGTCAGGCATTTAAACTTAAACATCTGCTCACAGAGATAGGCATAGATCTCTTTCCCTGCCTTCTGCCCCCAAGGAGTGAATTTGGAACACTTTCCATGGCACTCCCAGAGGTCAGCACGCCCCAGTGTCCAGCACCCAACATCCTGCCATGGGTTGTCTCCCACGGAACTGGTGACCCTCCCTTTTCCCCGTCCTCTGGGACACAGCAATCTATTAGGAATAAAACCAGGGCGGGGTTATTTTGGTTACTATCAATTATTTATCTTAATTTTCCCCATTTTGGAAAATCTTCTCACATGTTCAACTTCTCAGTTGTCATAGTGAGACATTCAGTCTCTTGCCAGCCTGAGCTCATAACTGCCCACTGCAGCCCCGTCCTACACTAATGAACAGCCTCACCAAAGGAGGCAAGAAGCTGACTCTATCATCCACACAATTCTGAAGTGTGAGTGGATGGAGTCAGACTGGTGGGCTGGCTGGGTTTATGTTAGACTGTCATCTATGGGGTAAAGCACCAAATCTAGATTTCCAGGCCATGTCCACATTCCACCTGTCATACCATACTACGTCCAAATGCTCCACTGAACCATAGAAAAGACTTTAACCTCCACAAGTACCCATGAAAGAAATCTAAGATAGAAAACCACTTGCCTCAGTGTTAATATGCATTTTTGTTTCTGCTTCATGCACGTCATTCCCAGTATAAACCATTTTCAGTAATCCCATTAAATTAAATGGCAGGCCTGCATGTAAGTTCAAGAATATTTTTATTACTGAAGCCTAAATTTTCCATTCATGCAAAGCCTATATAAGTACTATAATTTTAAATCAACAAAAAGACTCAGCCTTAAAAGCAAGGTCAATGTATCTACATCCTGGACCTACAGGGAGGTGTTCACAATATGTGGTAAAGGAATGTGTATTCCATACGTGAGAGATAATGGAAGGAAATGGGATTAAATCTACTACTGACCACTCCCTATGCCTGTTTGTTCAGTCTCTCTACTATTTTCCCCTCAAAAAATATTTTCCATCCCTGTCAACAGATGGCTCCCCGCTGGCTAGATATTTTGCAAAATTCTTTATCACTACTGTTTACTGTGTCTCTATTCTTTGATTAGACATGACTTTACATTTCCCAGAGGTGATGTTTTGGTATGTTTTAAAAGGATGAAGAACTATCAAAATATGAGAAGACAGTCCTTCGGGCCCATCCAAAGCCATTAAAATCCAGCACAGTTCAAGAAAAGAGAGATTCATATTTCAGGAGAGACTTTATGCCCCCTATTTTTTACACATGCCTTTACTAATGTAGGCTGCATGAGCCAGTTTCTGCTAATTTTGCAAGAGTCGAGAGACCCAGATTGTTGAAACATTCTGTTTACTGGCCTGCAAAAGGTCATCTCTTTCAATGGCTGTCATTAAGCCCATTACTGCACAATTTAATCATAGATGCTTAGAGAAAACACTCAAAGCAAAATATCACAATCAACATGCCTAAAAGTGTATTGCATAATAGATTAATAGAATGGAAGCTTCCAATTTCCCATCAATACAACTGAGTGAATTATTTTCTTGAGTAGACTAATTACAATGAAATATCTCAACCAAAACCTTTCCTAAACTCCATTTATCAGTCATTTACTACATGCATCCTTGTCAGAAGAAATACGCACTTATCTGCTCCATTTAGGATAATGAGACTATTGAGTTTATAATTGTTATTTACCAAAATCCTTTATAAAAAGTAATGAAGTATATGTAACTGTCACATCAAGTAATTAGAAAAAGACACTCCCATAGGATAGCCTTTCTGTGGGAATTGCACTACCAGCAGCGGAAATCTCATCTTTTGAACACAGATACAGCCAGTAGATGCAGCATTTTCCAGTCTTTCTACCTGATGGAGTAAGAAAGGTGTGGACTCCCCCTCTCCCAGGATGCTTTTGCTGAGCTGTGCAGAAACATGCAAAGGCAAATCAGCATGAGACTCAGAGCAATTTGGACACCACTAAGTTATATCACACATGTAAGCATTCCTGTCACACGTAGCAGAGCATTTGCACACTACCAACAGTGCCCTTGCTTGCCTCTCACTTCCAGTTCATAGAACTCCATCCTTCCAAGCACTTTTCAAACACTAATGATTGTAAAATAAATAAGTAACTAGAACTGGCATAGTAGAATGAAGACCAGGTCTGGGGGAATGCTTTGCCCAGGGCTGCAAGCAATAAATCAATGCACTGCTAGATAACCATATAGTCAAACTGAAGGCTCAAAAAACACCTCATGTCTTTGATAGTGGCACAGAGGAAACAGTGAATCCATTAACAGACACCCTCATATTTAAGAATTCTATCTTAGATCCTAATTTCAAAATACTCATTTATAACCAACCCAAAAAATCCACTTCAAGTGAAAGAAAAATATTTAAAAATATTGAACCTGAAGTACTAATGGACTATTCCAAGCAGTATTATTGGGTTGGGGATGCATTCCTTATCAAGATATCAGATACCACATATCAGAGCAGAGATAGTAGAGCATGTAACAAAAAGAAATATATCTGGATCTGGAGCTAAAATGAAACTCGTAGAATACATTAATGAGTTATCATATACTGGTCCAGTTTATAGACTCTTTCCAAAGCATCCAGCATTAATTTATATTGAAAACAGATCATTTGGTCTGAGCAATACTACTGTTTTCCTATTCTGAATTCCTTTTCCTCATATTTATAGGCTCTTTTCAGAAGACTAAAAAAGGAGAGATTTGAGATTCCACAATATAGGAATAAAAACATTTTAGAAGAGGCAAAAATACGTGTAGCAACTATGATATTTCTTTTTCCTCGTCCTTGTGTTTTATACAGAGTTAGGCGATTTCACTGTATATTGATAAGGTTATACTACAGAATAAGTATCTCTAAAGAAATTACTAAAAATAAAAAGTACTTAATAAAAATTCCTGTATTTGAAAAGTTGCAACTAATATGTCCCATGTAAGACATCAGCTCCATAGATTTTATCATTTTGGCTCACCCTGAGTCAATGCCTGACTAGTCTGAACATTAAATGATGCAGCTTACACTACCAGTAAACTGTTCAGCAGGACTAGCTGAAAGGAAGGAAACCCCTTCCATTGACAAAGGTAGCACCTGCAGCAGTTTTTGATCCCAGCCTCATGATGAAAGAATTTCAAGAAAAAATGTTGATATGCATCTGGTTTCTTTGGTAAGATGCCATCTTTACCAGATAAGAAAAGACTTCTTGTCTCAGGTAGTTACCAACACTGAAGCAGCCATAGCACTTGTAAAAATATTTGATTAATATAAATATTTTCCCACAAAAAAAAATTATCTGGTTGAAAACTGCATGTTCTTTTTATAACAACATACCTATCCAAAAAATTCAGGAATGAAACATGTCCATTTCTTACATTTCAACGACTGTGGAGATGTTTTGGTTTAGATTATTAATTTGTACTCTTCCAAAAGTTAGATATTCCCATTACGGAGAAAAACCTACCTTATAAAATTATGCAAATAGGGATTAATTTTAAATCATAGCAGAGATCGGATATGGTTAAAAAAATACTAAAAAAAAGATGAAAAAAATATAGTCTATACCTATCAATTCTAGTGCA